CCCCCTCGGGGAGGCTTCCGGGGAAGGGGGCCGGCTTCGGGCGGGCCTCCGGAAGCTTTTTTCCTGGGGCGGGGGATGCCGGCCCCCTGCCCGGAGAAGGAGACTGAGGCCTGCGCCCGGAGGCAGAGGAGTCCCTAGAGCCCCTCCCGCTAGGCCTCTGGGCCAGCGCGCTTTTGCCTTGGCCTTCTTGGGAGGGGCAGCCTGGTGGGAAGTGGCGATAGCTGAGCCCTGTCCCCCCGCCTATCCAGTTTTTGGGAAATTGTTCCAACCCTCTTGCAACCTCTCAGGGCAACCGCCGCCTCAAACATTCACACACACACACACACACACACACACACACACACACACACACACGAGTTTGTGAAACGTCGATTTGCTGCCTTCTCTCAGAGCCCAGGCTCCCCTGAGAAGGGCTAGAATTTCTGGAGCCGCCTTGGCAAGTCCGACGCTGCAGTTCCTGGGCCGCTGTACCAACCCCCCGGCGGGTGGCATTCCACAGGGAGCTCAGCCAGGGCCCTGAGTCGTGTGTTCCCCCCCCCCCCCACCGCTGCCACCAGGCGCCACATTCTCTCCATCTTTGCCATCTGTCCCTCCAGTGTCTCCACAGGCCCAAGTCCTCCCCATCTGTTCCCAAAGGAAATCCACGCTTCCCTTTCAACGTTTCCATTTTCACTTTCAAACCTCAGTCATGGTTTGTTCAGGACTCCCGGTTTCTCAGCACGTCTCCCCCTTCAGCTTCCCTGCAGGAGGACTTGGGAAGGGAGACGTGTTGTTGTTCTTACTGCTGTTTTCCAAGACTTCTCAGTTCTTCTTGGAACAGCAGAGTCCGCCCTGATGTTTGGACACCTTTGCCCTAGGAGTCCTAGACGTTTTGTTCTCTGTTATATTAGCAGCTAACATCCAGGGAGCCGTCCCCACGAACCCAGCCTGGTGCGAAGTGCTGTACATGCGATGCCTTCAATTTCCCAACGACCCTGTGATGTGGAGGTGATGATTATGTCTATCATAGGGTTGGAGAACCTGAGGTTGACAGAGGTTAAACAACTTGCCCAGAGTCGCAGCTGGAAGAGAACGGAGCAGGCATTAAACCAGGTCCACAGCTGCCAAAACTTTCCTGGCGCTCATTGCAGTGCCAGGCCGGCCGTCACAGCCTCGGGGAGCAGGCGGACACGTGAACAATGCCCACTGCTACCGTTCCCGGTGGGCACTCTGATGTGACTGAAGCACAGGGATTCTGGGAAGAGCAGAGGGCCCTGGGCCAGCCTGCATGCGCCCCACGCGTCTGCGAGAAGAGGTGACGGCTGAGCTGTTTCTTAAAAACTGAGAGCTAGTGAGGTGACAGGGGTGCTGGAGTGAGTGCAGCCTTCCAGGCAGAAAGGACGGGGGCGGGGGGGGGGGGGGCAAAGGCAGGGAGGTGAACCACTTAAGGTCAAACAGTTCCTTGTTAATGAAGCCAAAAGGGAGAAGCCAGCCCTGGCCGGTAAGCTCAATGGTTAGAGCGTCGGCCCACATACAGATTGTCAGTCAAGGGCACGTACCTGGGTCCGGGCACATTTGGGAGGCAACCCATTGATGTCTCTGTCACATCCATGTTTCTTTCTCTCTCCCTCCCTTCCCCCCTCTTCTACTCTCTCTAAAAATCAATGGAAAACATATTAAGAAAACAAACAAACAAAACAAAGAAAGGGGAGAAGCCAGGAGTGGAGGAGGTGGGGCTGGAGGGGTGGGGCCCAGAACACCAAGGGATTTGAAAGCCAAGGGGATTGGGCGGCTCTGAAAAGGGAGGGGCCTCACAGCTCCCTCCAGGCAGAGTGCAGGGTGGAGCACAGAAGGCTGTGGCCCCGCCAGGAAGAAGTCTCTGGGGTAATGGAAACCCAGGTGGGGAGGAGAGGACTGGGGGCGGAACATTTGGGAAGTTCAATGCCAAGGCTCTGTGCCTGGGCACAGGGTGACGGACAAGGAAGCCCTGAGGTTGACCCTGCAGTTCCCAGCAACATGGGTGACTCAGTGGAAAACGTCGTCACCCTTATGCTCAGTCAGTCCTCCAATGGGACCTGAGGCCGGTTAGGCACCAGGTGTTCCCAGGAAGGGCTCATGGAGCATGAACATGGTGGACAAGGCCCTGCTCTCAAGGGAAGGCTGATGGGGTGCGGGTGGGGCCGTGGGGACACAAACTGGAAAAGAGGGGAATATCCCTGAGTTGAATACAGAAGTGGCAGCAGGTTGGGATGCGGGGGGTGGGGTGGAGGTGGGGGTGGGGGAGAAAGAGAAGGGCTCATAGGCCCAGCTGGCATGGCTCAATGATTGAGCCTCTACCTATGAACCAGGAGGTCACGGTTCGATTCCCTGTCAGGGTACATGCCTGGGTTGTGGGCTCAACCTCAGTAGGGGGCATGCAGGAGGCAGCCGATCAATGATTCTCATCCTTGATGTTTCTCTCTCTCTCTTTCTCTTTCTCCCTTCCTCTCTGAAATCAATAGAAATATATTTTTAAAAAAGAAGGGCCTCCGGGACCTCCAGGGAGTTAGAGCCCCAGGAGTGAGCCCTCAAACTCATCCACGCACATCATTTCATTTAATTCTCTCTGCCACTCTTCTGGGGGGTGGGGGGTGGGAGGGTGGGGGAGGGGGGGCTGGGCTGGTGGGGGCTCAAGAATTAGAACAAGTGGAGGCTGTGGCAGAGGGCTTTCCTCGCAGGAGCAGAGGGCAGGAGGCAGTGTTGAGGGGCCTCGTGCAAGGGAGCTGTGGAACCAGCCAGGACGAGGGTGCTCTCGCCTTCTCACGATTTCTTTTCTCTCTTTCCTCCTCCCTCCCTTTCTTCATCTTGCAAGTGGCCCTGCGTGGTGCCCAGGCTCCGGTCTCGTGTCCCCAAGGTCACTATCACTGATCTCCAGTTTCCTTGCAAATTCTCAGAATCTGATTGTGCAGCTTGCCATGCTAGAACCAGCCTCCAGTCTGGTGACTGGGCACTCTTGGCCGGATTCCAGCCGGGCAGCCAGCAGGGGCCAGCGGGCGAGAGTCCTCGGCAGGTCCAGCCCCACTCAGCTGGGCCTTTGAGCTGGCCTTTCCGCAAGGGTGAGGGCAGGGCTGGCTCGGACTGAGGCCTGAGGTTGCTAAGAGCAAAAGGTAGGGATTAACCACCTCCATCCAAGTAATCTCTCTTCCGGAACTGGGACTCAACACTCAGGTTTCCTGGTTCCAAACCCCATGCCTTGTCACACCCCACACTTCCTGCCCTCGCGGGGCTCTCACTGGACTGGCTGAACCCCAGCAAGTCCCCTGGTGGCCATCGCTGTGAGCACCTCCTCTAACTGCACCCCCTCTCTGCAGGCTGGGGGCAGCTCCTATCCATTGCCCATTCCCCCCACTGGCTCCAGCCCTTTCACTACCTCTTCCTCAATCCTCTCCTTTATTGATGGAGACTTGGCAAGTCCCAGAGGCTCTAGACCAGTGATGGCGAACCTATGACACACGTGTCAGAGGTGACATGCGAACTCATTTTTTTGGTTGATTTTTCTTTGTTAAATGGCATTTAAATATATAAAATAAATATCAAAAATATAAGTCTTTGTTTTACTATGGTTGCAAATATCAAAAAATTTCTATATGTGACACGGCACCAGAGTTAAGTTAGGGTTTTTCAAAATGCTGACATGCCAAGCTCAAAAGGTTCGCCATCACTGCTCTAGACAAACAAAAATCAATCAGAAATGGATGCAGTGTGCATTTAAAATGGGATTTCGATGCCCCGTCCAAGAACACAACTGAAGCACCTGACTTAAAACCATCTTGAGGAGCCCTAGCTGGTTTGGCTCAGTGGATAGAGCGTTGGCCTGAAAGGTGCCAGGTTTGATTCTGGTCAAGGGCACATGCCCAGGTTGTGGGCTCGATCCCCAGTAGGGGACTTGCAGGAGGCAGCTGATCAGTGATTCTCTCTCATCATGAATGTTTCTATCTCTCTCCCTCTTGCTTCCTCTCTGTAATCAATAAAAACATATTGAAAAAAAACAACTATTAAGAGGAATCCTCGGCCTCTGAAAAGCTCAGCACTGCTCCCCACACCCCTTTCCCAAACCCGGGTGCTGTCAAATCCTGGGTCTTCACTGCTTTGCCACTTCCACAAAAGGGCCACTCACACTCAAATTCTAATTCACTGAGTGGCTGGCCCCCGGGATGAGATGACCTGGTTTTTAGCTCATTCTCAACCCTCTTAGGGTGACAGCTGACCCCAACCTAGACCCGCAGGGCCCGGAAGTGGGCTGTTCTGCTGCAGACAGTCCTGAAACCAAATCGAGCGCCGCCACCCTGTAGTCTAGGTGGTGGGTTCACACCAAGCTCAGCGGGGAGGGGTGCATCGGGCCCTCTGGGTGCGCGGGTGAAGGTGTCAGGGACACAGAACAGTGAATGCCAGAGGGTTTGTTCCCCAGTAATTTGAAACCACTTCTCAGCACCAGAGGTTTCTTCAACCACAAGGGGGCCTCTCCAGCTGATGCAGTGAGGAGGGGCGCCCAGGAAAAGGCAGTTGCTGTACAAACGTCAGCCTGTTTCATTCTCACAGCGACCCAAGCAGCAGATGCTGGGGGGAAGCCTGCAACTTGAGAGACGTGCCCTTGCCCGGAATCAAACCCGGGACCCTCCGGTCCACAGGCCGACGCTCTATCCACTGAGCCAAACCGGCGAGGGCTAATTCTTTTTATTGTGATAAAACATAGAGGACCTGCAGCCGCTGCTGGGTCACTGCATCTCCTCCTCAGGTTGGATTAACTTGCTAGAGTAGCTCACAGAACTCGGGAAACATTTCACCTACCAGATTGTAGGCTTCTCAGAAGGGGATGTAACTCAGGAACAGCCGATGCAAGAGACGCCCAGGACCAGTTGCGGAGAAAGGGCACGGAGTTTCCATGCCTCCTCTGAGCACAGCACTCCCCCAAACCCCCAGATGTTCACCAACCCGGGAGCTCTCCAAACCTCTCCTTTTGGCTTTAGTACGTGGACATGATTGATTACATCCTTGCCCACTGGTGATTGATCCAACCTCCAGCCTCTTTCCTCCGGGAGGTCAGGGGGTGGGACTGAAAGTCCCAACCCTCCAATCACACGGTTGCTTCCCTTGGCAACCGGCCCCCCAAGTTTGGTGTTTCTGAAAGCCACCTCATTAACATAATCTCAGGTGTGACTGAAAGGGGTTTCTTATAAATATCAAAACATCTCTATTGCTCTTATCATTTAGGACATTCCAAGGGTTTTAGGGGCTCTGTGCCGGAAATGGGATGAAGACCAAATATATATAAATTATATATCACAACATCACAGGACAAAAAATGTGTCCACAGGCTGCTGGACTCTAGGTTCTAGGCCACTTAGCCGAGGTCTGCCCTCGGGACCTGGAGGGAGGCGATAATGAAAAAGTTAAGAAACATTGGAATGTGGGTTCTGGTTGGACTCTCCCCTCCACCTCTCTGTAGCTGGGCCACCCCCTCAGTCACACGGGAATCAAAGTTGTACTCACCTCACGGGTTGTTGTGAGGATTACAGGAGGTACATGACGCACTTAGCTCAGCGTCTAGTACAGACGTTCCCAACATGGGTGGATGCAGTAATTGTCAAGATGGCAGACCTGCCCTCAAGGTGATGAAACTCACTCATGCCCCCCATGGCACAGGAAACAGGGCTCCCAGTTAGCCCTTCTAGCAATTACGACATGCAGAAGGGTTCTACTTGGTGCCAAGGCCTGGAGCTGGGGCTATGATTTCAACCACCCACCCACTCAGGTCTCCACCCTCCACCTCTCTGTGTCTGATGCTCAGCACGGTGCCAGGTGCTTTGTGGGAAAATAAATGGCACAAAGCCATTAAAAAACGTACAGCCTCAAAGGGGAAATGAGAAACTCCATTGCCATTGGCAGTAGAGCCTCGTCTACTGAGCCATGCTTCATAAATAATAATGTGCGTGGGACTCACCCGGGGATCCTGTCAACATGCAGATTCTGAATCAGAAGGTCCTGGGTGGGACCAGAGATTCTGCATTTCTGACCAGCTCCCCGGCGATGCTGATGGCGCTGGTCCAGGACCACAAAAGGAGAAGCCAAGTATTAAAGAAGCTGCTCTTGCCCTAGCTGGTTTGGCTCAGTGGATAGAGCATCGGCCTGCGGACTGAAGGGTCCCAGATTCGATTCTGGTCAAGGGCACATGCTCGGGTTGCGGGCTCCATCCCCAGTAGGGGGTGTGCAGGAGGCAGCCAATCAATTCTCTCTCATCATGGATGTTTCTATCTCTCTCTTCCTCGCCCTTCCTCTCTGAAATCAATAAATATATATATATTAAATTTTTAAAAAAGCTGCCTTTCCCCAGTTAGCCAACCTGAGGAAATGGTCTTTCCCTTCTCTGCTGATGGCCACGCATCCTTTTGACATCCGATGGGGCCCACAGTGAAATGTCTGGAAAATTCTGGAACAAAATCTTCCAGGTGAGATCCTCTGGGGTCACGATGGGGCTGAGTATTCTAAACACGGTGACAGTGAGCTCTCCGCGCTCCTGCTGGCTCACAGGGCTGTGCTTGTTTTTCTTTCAAGATCAAGCTACTCAAGGGGAGGGGGAGGGCAAAGGACAAAGATGGGAGGAGGAGAGCGGATCATTGCCATGCAGCCTCCCGGCTTCCGTTTGGACCGGCCTCAGGTAGCCACAGTTTTCTCTGGCAGACACAACTGAGAGAATGCAAATGGGAATCCTTACAGAGGAACCTCTAGCAGGGCAGGACGTTTGAAACGGGGCCACTACAATCATACGCTGCTTGGGGAGCTCGTTGGGAATTTTTAGTGTAATTCAAGCAATGCTTACAGATGGTCCCAGAGCAGAAGGGAGTGGGGTGTCGGGTTTGGAGCCAAGGACCGGCAGGTCCTAGATGGCAAGGAACAAGGATCTTTTTGAAGTGAATGCATTTGAGGAGCCGTTTCCTCTCTCCTCGGGAAACAGTAACCTGTTCGCGCAAACAGATGTGGCGACGTGGACTGGTCGGAGAATGACCTTGCGAGTATGTCTGACTTGTGGACCTGTTCTTTGATCTGCCCATCGACCTGAGGGCTTGGGTCGGGTTCATCGCCTAACCTCACACAATTGTCGCTGGATTCAGACCACAACTGGGAAGGCCAAAGTGGTGTCCCAGAATCCATCCATGGCCTAGCCACCAGGTGGGCCTCCTCCAGGGGGTCGGAAAAGTGGGGCAGCTTGGGAAGCTGTGAGAAAGATTTCCCCCAGCAGGTCATGTCTTGATTCGAGCTGTCCTCCAGACTGAAGCGTTGGAGAGTCTGGTTATAGGCCCTGCTCCGTCCTTTATGATCTCTGTGACATTGGCGTGATTCATCTGAAAAATGGGTTGATAACACAAATTCTCAAGCACATTGTAAGGAGGCCGAAGAGTGAAACACACAAAAATCTTAGCATAATGTCTGGCATTGAGTGAGTGCTCCAAGACTTGGGGATTAGAGGAACCGGTGGAGTACAATTTAATGATTTTAATATCATAACAGAGTTGTGCAACCGACACCACAATGCATTTTAGAACATCTTCCTCACCCTAAAAGGAAACCTCATACCCATTAGTAGTCACCCCATTCTCCTAGCCTTAGGTAGCCACTAATTTATTTTCTGACTATATAGATGTACCTACTCTAGAAATGTCATAGAAAAAGAATCTATAATGATAAAAGCATAATATGCTAATTAGACTGGTCAGCCAAACAACCTTCCGGACATCCTTCTGGACGACCTCCCGGACAAAGCCATGGTGGTGGGGGCCAAGGCAGAGGTGGTTAGGGGTGATCAGGCAGGCAGGTGAGCAGTTAGGGGCAATCAGGCAGGCAGGCAGAGTGGTTAGGGGCAATCAGGCAGGCAGGCAGAGGTGTTTAGGGGCAATCAGGCAAGCAGACAGAGTGGTTAGGGGCAATCAGGCAGGCAGGCAGGAGAGCAGTTAGGAGCCAACAATCCCTGATTGCGAGAGGGATGTCCAACTGCCAGTTTAGGCGCGATCCGCAGGGATCCCTATGGGATCCAGCTTAAACCAGCAGTCAAACATCCCCTGAGGGGTCCCGGATTGCGGATTGTGAGAGGGTGCAGGCTGGGCTGAGGGACACCCCACCCCTCCCGTGCACGAATTTCGTGCACTAGGCCTCTAGTTATATAATATTCCCCAAAACCATCCTATCCGAATGGTCTTCATGTGCCTGGCTTCTTCCACAGAGTGTGATGTTTTCAAGGTCCGACGTGTTGTAGCATGTGTCAGTACTTCATTGCTTTCTATTGCTTTCTACTATCCATTGTATGGGTATATCACGTTTTATGTATCGATTCAACCGATGGATGTTTGAACCGTTTCCGTGTCTGATCTGTTATGAATAATGCTACTCGGAACACTCACAAGTTTTTGTGTGGCTGCACATGTTCATTCCTGTTGCGGCCCCTGCACGGTAATGCCCTCAATCAGGTGCTGCTCCCTCTGGTTTAACTCCTGTTGTCATGTTGACCTCCTGACCTCTCTGCCCTAATCTGCTCTTCCTTCGAAGAACACTGCAGGTCCTACACCTGTCCTGTGGCACAACCCAGAAACTCACCAGTGATCCTTGGCACCGCCCTCCACGCCTCCATCCTCCACCCACTGCAGCCCATGGCCAGTCCAGCTGCAACCCAAGGAGAAGCATTCCCCAGAAGGGCTTTGCTGAAATTCCAGAATCAATCAGGCCAATAATTCTTTACTTCTCTGTTTTCCTTAGAGCAGCAGTTCTCAAGCTGTGGGTTGGGAACCCTTTGGCGGTCAAATGACCCTTTCACAGGGGTCGCCTAAGACCATCCTGCATATCAGATATTTACATGACGATTCATAACAGTAGCAACATTACAGTTATGAAGTAGCAATGAAAATAATTTTATGGTTGGGTCACAACATGAGGAACTGTATTTAAAGGGCCAGAAGGTTGAGAACCACTGCCTTAGAACAACTGTGCTCCCCTCATCTGCTTCTTTCTTGAAGTGGAGACAATCTCCCTCATCTCCTTGCAAATGAGGTGACATCTGAGCAGATTCTGATGGAATCTGTCCAGAGGGCTGGACGCCCTGCTGTGCTGAGCGAAGATGCCAGTGATTCCCTTAGGGAGGCCCCTGAAGGCTGGAGGCCTCTGTAAGGGCAGACGTCCTGGGCCTTGTCTGATTTCTGGTCCCATGAACTAGGGCGACAGTGAGTGATAAAGCCTGGTAGTGGACTCTTGGTTAGTCACGGACCAACTCCACTCTTGAACCGAGATCATGCAGCATGGGGCACCGGTTCCCAAACTTGGCTGATCATCAGAATCACCTGGAAGCTTTTAAATGTTAAGATACAGCTTCCCAGGTCCCGCCCCAGACCTAGCAAATCTGAATCTTCTCATGGACAGAAGTGCGAGCTTAGCCCTTCCACCTGGGGCCACATCTCGGTTCCTCCCCCAACTCCCCACGCCTGGACCAGTCAGGCCACCTCCCATCTGTGTACCCAGGACAACACTTAACTGGCTGCTGGTGGGGACCCCAGGCGATGCTTGTGAAAGTGTCACATTCACTGGCAGCCGTCTGATTAAAATAATGATGAATAAATACTAGCCATTGTATTTGAATTGTCTGAAATGCCTTATATTTTTGTGGAGGACAGGGGTACTGCTTCTATTTTAAAAAACAAAACAAAACACGGTAGTCAGCTGAGTCTCACTCCTGTCTGACGGGAGTGTAACTGCCATCCACAAGGTCTAACTTTTCCCTCAGAAGCACACAGTCGAGACTGTGCAGGAATGAAGGAACCTGCTTCCTGGACCAGCATGGGTCCAGTTTAGAACGAAACGCCACCCCCGGCCAGGCTCCACTTTGCTGAGAAAGGCTGGTATTTGTCTTTGAAAAGGTGAATGTTTTGGCAAATCGATACAAAAACAGGTTTTAACATGGAGACTCCAGGGAGCTGTGACATTAACAAGAATGTGGCTTTGGGGCTTGGTGGGAAGGGCAAGAATTCTGCTTGCTTTAAAATACATATATATATATATATATATATATATATATATATATATATATATATATTTGAGAGAGAGTGAGAGAGAGATAGAAACATCAATGGTGAAAGAGACACATCAATTGGTTGCCTCCTGCATGCCCAGACCAGGGCCGGGGATCAAGCCTGCAACTGAGGTACATGCCCTTGACTGGAATTGAATCCAGGACGCTTCAGTCAGCAAGCTAATGCTCTAGCCCAGTGATGGCGAACCTATGACACGCATATCAGAGGTGACGCGCGAACTCATTTTTTTTGGTTGATTTTTCTTTGTTAAATGGCATTTAAATATATAAAATAAATATCAAAAATATAGATCTTTGTTTACTATGGTTGCAAATATCAAAAAATTTCTATATGTGACATGGCACCAGAGTTAAGTTAGGGTTTTTCAAAATGCTGACACACTGAGCTCAAAAGGTTCGCCATCACTGCTGTAGCCACTGAGCCAAACCAGCTAGAGCCCACTTGCTTTTCAGTGGGCCTCTCCTAGTCCTGGGCTTACCCTTCGCAGAGTCAATAAAATAATCTACACAAAGTCTTTGCCCAGCACCGGACGTCCCTGAGGTCCTCAGACAATGTGAGCTGCTGCCATCACCACCGCCATCCACTCTCTTAGCATCTGAACTCCTGGACCCTGGACCCGGGGCCGGATTCCCAAGCTCTGGGGCCCCAAGCAGAGAGGCTCTGCCCGCCTCCAGGCCCTTCAGGGTGTGCTGGGAGGGCCAAGTAAATCATGCGAAGGGAAGGTAGAAAGAGCCTCTGTCGTGGAGGGAGGGTTTCCCAAGCCAACTTTTCTTTGTATCTGCAGGGAAGGGCTGTGTTAGAGGCAGCAGCAGGGGGACAGCACAAATAAATACAGAGAAACCTCTCCCGGGGCCGCTATTGTGCTGGGCACAATGGCAGGCCCTGGAGAGCATTTTCATCCAGTTGAGATTGGAAAGTAAAATAAACGTGCTCACATTACACCCCGGCCCAGAGCCCTGACCTGCTTCAGCCCTCTCTCTGGGACAACCCAGCTCCGCGGGAGCCAAGGGGCAGGTTTGATCGGAGTCCTGGCCTGATGTGGGGAGAAGGGAATTTGGGGGTGGGGAGAACAGGTCCTCAAGGTGGGGGGTGGGTCGCCCGGAAGCTGTGGGCACTAGGCTTTGGACCACCCGGGGCTTTCTCAAAAGCTGCCAGCACCGAGTCCCCACCCTTTCCAGGGCTTTCCGGCCAACAATGGGCCTTGTCCAGCAGGGCCGGGAGGGCTGGGGACACACCCGGCGGGTGGGCAGGCGGGGGAGGCTGTTTGGCTCTGTGGGGAGGAGGGGCCCCCTGCCCGCCCTGGGCAGGAGGGACTGGGTAGGACGGGTGGCTTTGTGGAGCCTATGGCATGTCCCCCAATACTATAGGGCAGTGATGGCGAACCTTTTGAGCTCAGCGTGTCAGCATTTTGAAAAACCCTAACTTAACTCTGGTGCTGTGTCACATATAGAAATTTTTTGATCTTTGCAACCATAGTAAAACAAAGATTTATATTTTTGATATGTATTTTATATATTTAAATGCCATTTAACAAAGAAAAATCAACCAAAAAAATGAGTTCAGAGGTGACACGCGTGTCATAGGTTCGCCATCACTGCTATAGGGACTGGCAGCTCAGCTCTGCTGCCTGGGCTGGCTTTGAGTCAGACAACTGTGAAGATCTTTCTGGAAACAGAGACAACTTCCATGGGCATGAGCCTCAGCTCTTCTTTAGCTGGTGTTCCTAAGCATCGCTGTGCAGGCGAGGGCAATCCCTCCACCCAGGAAACACTGGCCCAACAGCTCTGAAACCCCCGAAAGGGCCGAGCCCCAGGCACACACCTTGATGTTCCCCGTTAGAGCAGCCTGCCGCCTGGCTGGCCACGGCGCCTCATGCCACCTGCCCACGTGCTGGGCCTGGAACTGGGGAGATGAGGGTGGGAGGCGGGGTAGGGGTGGTAAGGAGCTGTGTGACATCAACCATGTGATATACCGAGCTCAGGACTGGGCAGATAGTAGATCCTTATTAAATGGTAGCAACTTTTTACATAAAAGTGATGTTTGAGGGCTTATTTTGTATCGTGCTGGGTCCTGTTCTACCGGAGTCTCACAGGAGCCCTCTGAGGTAGGTGTTCTTATTTTACAGGAGTGGAAATTCAGACTTCGAGAAGTTGAGTAAATTGTCACTCGTTCCCCAGCTACTTGCTGGTAGGGCTGGACTCAAACCTGGGCAGTCTGACGCTATAGCCTGCACTCAACAGCCACGTGATTTCTGTTACGATTACTACCTATTAGCATATTGTCAAGGGGATCTCAATCTCAGGCTATTATTGGACAAAGAGAGAGCTATTCTTGAAGCGTATAAAAGAGGTTGTGAGCTTGTTTTGTGTTGGGGTGTTCTTATAAAGACTAGGGGGGTGGGGGGAAGCACAAAAATTAAAGTTAACAAATGATTAAACTTCTAAAAATAATACCAAGAAAGCCTCTTGACCCAACACCATCTGTTAATGTCACACTCACCTGTGTCTGAGCGCCTACCTGACTTCATGTGGCCGCACCACCCAATGAGATGGCCAGAGTAGGCACCCCTCCTAGCCTGCCGATGAGGAAACGGAGGCTCCCAGAGCTGGTGGGGTTCTTCAAGTCTAAATGGTTCCTTACTCTGAATAAAAATCACTGAAGTTTCTTGAGCGATTGCTTTGTGTCGGGTACTGCACTGTTCGTGCTATAGTAATTAGGCAACCATGTTCTGGTGGACATTATTATTTTGTCCATTTTGCAGTTGAACAAACTGAGGCCTAGAGAGGCTAAATAAGGGGCCTTAAGACACACAGCTAGGGAGTACCCCCTGCTGTTGTTCATCACCACGCCTTGGTGGTCTTGATGGGGCTCAGAGCCAGACTGAAGGGAACCAGCCAGTCTCCCCCAGAGAACCTATGTTGTGCAGTGCACGTGGGAGGTTTAGAATGTGGGGGACACAGACAGCCCTTGCCTTTGGAAGGCCACAGGCGATGGGATGCAGAGGAAAAGGGCGTGGGTTTGGAAGTGGGCTCGACCTGAGCGATCCCAGCTCTGGGCTCACTGGCTGAGTGGTCAGGCATGTTTTTCTAGCCCTGAGCCTTGGTCTCCACCCCTGTATAGTGGAGCTACCATGACCTATCACGTGGGATACGGTTAGCACAAAGCCTGGCACTCAATACTGAGATCACACTACATGTCAACCGGGGAGCAGGAACACACGAAAAGCTAGCAGTACTGGGCAACACTTGCAAGTGTCTAACGTGATGTTCAACTTCAGGCACGCAAAGAATTCACTGGGCAGGCCGGGTTGGGCCCATCAAGACAGGCTCATAGAGAGGGTGTGTCTCAGGCTTGCCTTTGATTTAGGGCGAGGGAGCCCATGGGAAACTCACATGGGAACGCCAAGGAGCTGTGGACCAGATTTCAAACAGTGATGTTACCCTTACCTGTTCCCCTGGGGCCAGATCCTCTCTGCGCTCTACCTCCTTGAAGCCTTGGACACTGTACAGAAGAAATGCCATGGGCCCGGCTGCAGAGGGGGAGGGCATGGTGCAGTCAGGGCACGCTCAGTGGGTTGGAGGTGCTGGAGAGCAAGATTCGAAGGTGGGGCGTTCTGGGAGGGACGCTGAGCAGTGGGCGGGCAAAGGTCAGTCACGAGGGGCCATGGACTCCCAACATAGTTTTGTGAGCTTTGCTGAGAGTGTGGGAGGGCTAACCACCGAGTGAGGCAGGGAGTCGAGTTTCAGTGCGATGGTAACCAATCGTGGCAAATGCCACGGAGAGCACCAGAGAAGGACCGAAGATAAACCATGGCTGTGGTCACTCTGGACCGAAGTGGTGACGCTGGTGTGGCTGGAGGCGGAAGTTAGTGGGACACAGGCCTCCAGGAGGGGTTTCCTGACCTGTTTTCTACAACAGTGAACTAACTGTCCAACTGTCTTGATAAGAACCTGCTTCCAGCTGTGGGTGAGGGTCTACCGAATGCTAGTGCAACTGGCCCCCGGACGGGGGTTATGGACTGCGTGTTTGTGTGCCCCCATTCATGTTAAATCTCGAACCCCCAACAGGAAGGTATTGGGAGGTAGGGCCTTTGGAAGGCAGTTAGATCATGAGCATGGAGGATGGAATTAGTACCCTTAGCAGGGGTGGGTAATGTCCAGGCTGAATAAGGCCTGCGAAATCATTTGGTCTGGCTCTGCCAAGGCATTAGGGGGGAGTTAAATGTTTGACTAAAGCCCAGTCGGTGAGGCTCAATGGTTGAGCGTCGACCTATGAACCAGGAGGTCACGGTTCAATTCCCGGTCAGGGCACGTGCCTGGGTTATGGGCTCCATCCCCAGTGTGGGGCATGCAGGAGGCAACCGATCAATAATTCTCTCTCATCATTGATGTTTCTATCTCTCGATTTCCCTCTCTGAAATCAATAAAAATATTTTTTAAAAAAGTTTGACCAAATATAGCAGGCTAAGACTTAAGTTGATAATTTTGTGCGGCCTGCGAATGATGTTATAGATATCCAAGTGGCCCTGGGCAGAAGAAAGACCCCAAG